TCATGGCCCCTGTGGGCACCACCTCCCAGCCACCACTTGGAGCCACCCCCACACAGCCCCCCATGGCCACCCCAGTTCCAGCTCCTGGGCCCTGCCTCCCCCACCCTGGGCAGCTCTCTCAAGGCTCCAGAGCCAAGGAGGCTCTAGTCTGTAAATCCAGGGTGCTCAGTCACCTGCACCAGCAGATTTATGGGGCTGGTGCTTCTTGAGCAGCACTTGGTAAACCAGCAGTCACCTGGGGAGAGCAGGGAAACTGAACCCCCTGGAGGAAGCAGCATGGCAGCACCTGGAGCTGTATCTGCTAATCCTTCTTTTCTTTTAAATCTAGGTATTTCTGGAAAGGGGAGCTGGAAGAATCCACTGAGATACTGCTGGTAAGTAACAATTCCCCACATCACAAAAATCCCTCTCCCAGAAAGCCCCAACCAGAACAGGCTGCAGGGTGGACTGGGGAGGTGGCACCAACCTACCCAAGATTTGGGACAATGCCCAGGGACCCTGAGCACCCACCTGCAGCACAGCAGTGGTGGCTGGGGGTGACAGCCCAGCTTGGCCCCTTACCCTGCCAAGGGCTCCTGTCACCCTGCTGGGCACCAGCTGTGCTGGATGGGTGCAGGGGAGCTGTGCATGCAGGGCTGCTCCATCCCCTTTACTTCTCCACTGCTTTTTGATTTGTTTTGTTTTGTTTTCCTCTGCACAGTTAGTGAAAACAAGGACATCCAAAATAAGTGAATTGTCCAACTATGTCAGGTGAGGCTCTGGGGGATTTACATCTTATGTTCAGGCTTTGGGAATCAGGTTCCTTGAGTCCCTTCCCACCCAGGGAGAGTTTAACTGCGCTTGATACACCTCGTGAGCCAGAAAAAACCAGAGGTGGCACCAGCAGCACAACGGGCGGGCAGGAACATCAGCGGTTGGGCTCCTGGCAGCCCGGGCAGGGGGGGATTCTCCTGCTAACACACGTTATTCCCTGGCTGCCTCCCGGCAGGATTTCCTGCCTTTCCCAAGCACAGAGCACAGCGGCTCTGCTCCAGGGCCCCTGGCTGTGGTTAAACCCCAAACTCCAAGCAAAATTCTCACGTGGCAAGAAGAAGCTGCGGGGCTGTGGAGCCGCCGGGCGGGGCTGCTGAGGAGCTGCTGGTGACGCTGCTCCCCGCGCCTGTTCCGCTGCAGGTCCATCCATCCCTTTGAAATCCCTGAAGTCATCAGCCTGCCTATCGACCAAGGAAACCCCCTGTACCTCAGGTGGTTGGAGGAGAGCGTCCCACGGGACTGACTTTGGGCCGCGGGGAGCCCCTCGCTTTCTGGGGTGCGCGGCTGAGACGCCCCGGGCCGCCCGTGCGGGCAGGACGTGCAGAGGCAGCTTTTGTCTTTACGGGTTCCTTATGACACAGAAACCTGGCACTGGGAAGTCTGTTTGCACCCCAAACATCGGCCCCTCGGCG